TGTTTTTTTTTCTTACACTCACTTTAGTTGTCTTTTTTTTGGAAGAAGAAAGTATCAGCATTTTTGCGTACCGATGTCTGTTTCGTAACACCACTTTCCTCTCTCTTCTCATCCCTTTGTTAATCGCACAATATCTTTGTTCTTTAAAAGAACAATTTACTAATAACCAAAAAAAAAAATGCCCCTTAAAGTAAAAAAGTGCTAATGATTATAATTGGTTGTTAATTGTGATTTTCCAAAATTATAATTCATTTATTTCTTTTTTCTTCTTCTTTTTCCTCTTTTCTTCTTCTTCTTTTTTCCTTTTTACCACTTTTCCTGTTTATTGTTTATTTTCTTTAACAATGAGGTGTCAGGCTGAAAAAGTAGGTATAAAGTAGGTATAGTTGTTGAACCAAAAAAAATTGGATACTCGAAACAGTAACCAATAATAAATAAAAAAAACTTCTTCTGCATTAAAATTTTAAAAAAAAAAAAGGCAAAAAGATTTTTGTTCCGATACGTTGGTATACAAATCCATCTCCTTCTTCACTTTACCCACATTGCTGTTCTTTTTGGTTTTTTTTCTCCAGTTTTACAAGTGAAAAGAAAAATGGTCAAAATTAAATATCTGTTGAAGAAGGAAAAATATGTTCAAACTTTTTGTCTAGATTTACTGTCTTTGATTTTTGACTTTTTCAAACTTCTTCGTTTTTCTTCATCTTTGCTGTTTTTATGGTCGCCTTTTGCTCTCCATAATAATCCGCAATTTTTATTTTTGTGTTATTCACACGTTTGATTACTGTATTTGATACGTGTCTTTCACTGAACCTGAAGCCTGATACTAAATTCACTACCGTCATTTGGGTTGTTAAGATGTGCTTTAGTTTGAAAATATTAGTGAGAAGTTGTTGGTATATAGATGTCATTTGCCCCTTTTTTCTTACAGTTATTTTTAAAATTAGAAAGCATAAAAAATGGATAAAAAGTAAATTTAGCAAAGTAATTGTTATGTTATTTTGTCTTCCATTTTGTTGTCATCAGTTTTCTTTTTTTTATTTATTCGGAGGTAGCCGATTTGGGAGGTGAAGGAGGGAGAGGAGAAGAACAGCAGCGAAAAAGATAATAGCTTAATCTATGTTCATAGACTTCCGCTCATCATTCTTTTTTGTTCAGCACCTCTTTGTCATACAAATTTTAGTTTTCCTAAAATAAGCATTAGTCAGTCAGTGTCATTTAATCTTCTTTTGTATCACTAAGAATTGAGAAACAGAAAGAGGAAACAGCTATAGTAAGTGTATTGTCTTAATTAATTTTATTAGAGCTTAATTAATTAGGGTTATAATGGAGAAGAGTGAAATTTTTTTCAACTTTTATGCTAATTTTATTGCTCAATTTCTTTTTTTTTTTATTCAAATTTATTTTTATAGTCTAAGCGTTTGTTGCCATATCAATTTACTAGGAAAATCTGTAGCTGCCATAAGCAAACAGCTCAACCGGAATCAGAAACCATAGAATACTGCATCTGTTGGTAACGTAATTTCAGAAAGTACTATTCAAAGTATCCAATTTGGACGTCGTCGGCATCAGAGGTATCGAAAGTTTTCAGTTTTAATGCGCTCTGTAAGATAGAAATTATTTGCAGCTTTAGTTGGTAGTTTTTAGTGAATTTTCTTTTTTTTTTTTATTTTTAGTTTTTTTTTCTTTCAGTTAGTTTTTGTTGTTTTAGCAGATACCATTCTCCACTCCCTCCTCTAAAAAAATCCCAAAGAAATAAGCAAATTAAAAGAAGCAAACAACAACAACAAAAAAAAAATCATTCTCCTCCAAGAATATCTGTGACCACGGGTGATTTTTTTCGTTATTTACGTCTAATATGAACAGAATTGCTGCATATATATAAGTTTTAAAGTTGTTTTTTATTTGTTTTTGCGATTATTATTATTATTAATATTATTTTTTCATGTATTTGAAATGTTTGTGTTGACAACCTGCTTTATTTTCTAAATGTCCATTTCACTATTTTTTTTCAAATTTAATATTATTTTTCTTTACTACCTTTAAACAATTGAATGCTAAAAAAAAAAAAACAAAAACAAACAAAACCATCTAAAATTAACTAAAAAAGGGACAGAAAAGAAAGCAATGAATGGAAAAAAAATAAACTGATTGAATAGTTCAAAAAGCGAAACAGAAAAAAAAAAGTTGTGTTCTTAACATTATTTGCAGTTTGAAAGAGATGATACTGTTTTTTTTTGCCTTAGAAAAAATAAAAGATTCTGTTAAACGGTTTCCGTCATCTCCATCATCTCCAATACTACAGTGAGCTGTGTAACGACGATGAACAAATAAACAAATTTATTGTTGTTGTCAAATAATGGACATTCAGATGACATCAGAAAAGTCACATTTACAACACAGTTTTTGTTGTCTTTAAAATTGTGTTTGCAGACTTTTTTGCCTCAAAAATGACTTTAGTTTATTTGCTTAACCATTGCAGGGAAAGTTCAGAAAGTGTTTGATCAAAGAAAATTTGTAAAAATCTTGGAAAACTTATGTTGTCATCTGCTTTGCTACGTAGCTGCTTCCATTCAGACGGTATTCGGTTGTCTTATCACTGTTTATTATGTTTAATCATAGGCGGAATTATATGATTGAATTCTAAAAACAATACCTGTCTAAGAACCAAAATTATTGATGATCTTAGTGAGACGGTATGCGAACGACTTTGGGGTAATTATGCACAGCTTGAACAGAATTTTCTTTAAAGGTGAACTTGAAAATTCAGTGAAACGAAAGTTTTAGGCAAATAATTTATTAGTCCTACATTAGTAACTTTCTAAAATGCTATAGAAAAGACATTTAATTTTTGTTCAGAAACTTCGATGCAGATATTTAGCAACGACTAAATCGTTGTTAGGTAAAAAAAAATTTTTAACGACTCCATATCAGAGTGCATACTCTTCGGTCGACGTCTTCACTGTCTTCTAAACTTTGCCAATTTGTAGAACTTGGTATCGAATTGCGAAATCAAAAGAAACCTCCGTAAAAAGTGCAGTAGCTGCAAAATCTAGACCGTTCTGAAGTGCAAAAGAAAGCACAGTTTTTTCTGAACATGGTCGTCTGCAAAAACTTGTCTTTTTGTCTATTTGAGATAGATTTTCGTTATTTTTACTGCTTTTGAAAGCTTATCTTTTGTGGTGTCGAAAAAATGGAAAAATACACATATTGACAGATAATGTTGTAAATTAGGACATGAACAAAAATTAAAAGCGCTTTTCCTAAAAAATTTACACTTTAAATTCTGAAAAAAAAAAGCTTTTTTTTTTTTCTATGAAGATATAGTTTCTGAATTCAAGTTTTAAAAGGCGATATATTTGTAGTATCACAAATTGTACCTTAAAAAAATGTGCTGTCTGATATGGAGTATCCCATAATTATTGCCTTTTACTTAGCTTATTTTATAAAAAAAATTTTATTCAGGTCAAATCGTAACTTTAAAATGTAAAAAAAAAAAAAAAAAAAAAAAAAAAAAAAA